TATATAAAATATTTATTTGTTTCTTTTTTTTTTTTACCAGTGTTATTACTAAAATAGGAGACATTTAGAATATAGCATTATTAGAAAAAGATTCAATTGTAAAAAAAAAAAAAAATAATAAATAATAATAAATTTACATTATGGAATATTACAGTTATGTATGTGACTTTTATATTGTATAAAAATTATTTATTAAATAATTAAAATATTAATTTCGCAAGATTAAATGAAAATTTTAACGATGATATTTAAATAAAATTATTTTGTTTTAATAATGGCAAAAAATCAAGATTAAATTTATAAAAATTTAATTTATAAAAAAAAAATTTATCACCATATTTTAGAGGAAGTAATATAAAATACTTTTGAACTGAGTAATTAAGTATACAAGTAAATAAGTATATACTAAAATTTCAGTTAACAAATTTTCAATTTATGCATTATTTTTTAAACAAAAATAAAATGATTTTGTGATAGAAAAAATTTATATGAAATTAAGTAAGAAAATATTTTTTTAATTTTTTTGATATTAATCAAAATTTTTGTTTTGTTCCAATTTTGGGTAATAATATAAAATGTTAAATAAAATAAAAGTTTAGCACAACTACTAGTATCCTGGAGCTAAAAAGGAAATATTAAAATAAAAAAAAAAACACAAATAAATGTATGAAATTGAAAATGAAAACTAAACCCAAATAAACAAATAATTGATAAAATTGTTTGATTTTTTTTTTTTTTTTGCTAAATAATTAAAATAAATGCTTTATTAAATTATTAATTAATAAAAAAAAAAATAAATGTTATAATATACATACATAGATACCATATGTATACTTATATAATTATAATAGTAGCAAACAATTTAAGAATTTTTTTTTTTTTGTCATAATTTCTTTGTCTAAACGATATTATACGAGTAATAAAAAAAAAAGACAAAGAAAAAATGTTGCTTAATATTATAAAATAAATAGTAAAAAAGTGTTATTGCAAGACAGCACGAATATCATTATTAAATAATAAAATATATGTATATTTAAATTAAAAAAAATTCATGGGAATTTCAATAAAATTTTAAAAAATATAAGTGTTTTATTTCAATTTCAAAATATTTTCTTTTTAAATATTAAAGTTCAACAAAACTGTTATACCGTTTAAAACGATTATTTTTCATAAAATCAAATTTAGAAATTTACGATCAACTATTTGTTAAATAATATTAAGAAACATTTTTTTTTTTTCCCAAAATCAAAAATTATATTATAACTATAATAACATTATTATAATTTGCATAAAAAAAAAAAATTATTTTTTCTGCGCTTCCATTTATCTATACATTTTGTATTTTTATATAAAATGCGTAAGGTTAAATATTGTGTAATGAATTTTCCTTACACCCTTTTTTTTTTTTTTTGTTTTTTTAATTATTCATTTATACAAAACGCACATTTATTAATTTTTTAAGTTCGATATTAATTTTTCGTAAAAAATTTAACAATATGAATTATAGATGATTTTTTTTTTTATTCTTTTGACTTTCAATTTACTTAAAATTAATATTTATTATTACAAAAAATTTGAATATATTTGTGTTAAAAAAAATAGTAACACATATTAAAAAGAAATGATAAAAAAAAAAATAATAAAATATTTTTTTTTTTGCTAGTTTAACTAGTCTTAAATTTTTGTATTATTTTAGAAATAAGTGTAAGACCCGAAATTTTTCTATTAAATATTATTTTTAACGCACAGCATAAAATCAAATTTGTCCGATTCAAATAAAAATTGTTTTTTTTTTTTTTTTTTTCAATTTATTAATGAGTTAAAAAAAAAAAATTATTTTAAAAAAAAATATAGTTGGGAGATATTTTGAAACGAAATATTTTATAAAAAGTTTTTAAAAATTTTTTTTTAAATTTTCGAAATTAAATGTCGAAAACAAATTCATTTTCTGTATAGCCTTTCATCAAAAAAAAATTTTATATATTGAACTATCACATTAAATTGATTAAAGATTTAAAAAATTAAGAAAATTTTAAAGAAATAAATTTTGAAATTTCATTGTTTTATTAAATATTATACATGAAATTGCTTGCTATAATTCGATAGTGTTTCTCATTCTTTTAATGTTAGTAAATTTATTTATTCATATAACCAATAACCAACATTTTACAAAATTTATAGATTTTTCCTATAAACTTTTTATTTGAAATTAAAATTTTACGCACACAAATGATATTTATTGAAAAGGAATTATATAATGATATTAAAGAGCTTACCTTTATATAGATTATAGAATTTATCCCTTACTACATCAAATATTAAATTTAAAAAAAAAAAATAAGTTTAAATTTTTTTTTTTGAAATTAACCAAATATTAAAATTAATATTTTTAACGCTAAAATACCAAAATTGCATAATTTTTTTTCTACTTTAATGATGATATTTCTTAAAAAAGAAATGATTTTAATATTCTTCATGATTTATGATCTTTAAAATTTTTAATTAAATTTTGAAACATTGGAATTTAGCTAAATGAAACTAAAATGGAAATCGAATAAAATTAAATTTTGAATTATATTTTTTATAAATGAGATTATGATACTCTAAAAAAAAAAAAAAGGAAAAAAGCGAACATACATACTTTTAATGTAAATTATATCTATTAAAAAAATTTAATAATTTTCTAATATTAACAATATAAGTAACAAAAAGATCAGAAGAAAACAAGTTCTACTCTTTAAATAAATTCTAACATGTTTTACTTTTGGTAACAAAAGAAATAGAAAGAAATTAAGATATTTGAAACAGTTCATTAAAATATTTTAAGCAAAAACAATAGCATTGAAATTTTTATAAATCGTAGAAATTCAATTTTTTAAATATAACACAGCATTCATTTCTCACAGAAAAAAAGTACTTATAATGAAATAAAAATTAATAATAAAAAAAAACAACAGACAAATTTGATTTTGTACTTACACCACAAATACACTTAATTCTAAAAAAAATATTATTTTTTTTTTTTTTTTGTTTAAATTAAAACTAAAATTTATTGAATTTAGAACAGAATAAAAATTGAATTAAAACTATTTTAGTTATATTTGATAATTAATAGTTAGTTACTTTCTTATCTATTACTCAAAGAAAAAAAAAATGATGTTAATAAACAATTAAATTGGTAATTGCAAGTAAAAAATAATTAAAAATGAAATAATAAAATGGAAAATTTGTTAAAACAAAAATTTTAAAGTTTTTGTACTAAAATATGGGCCATATTATCAAGTATTTTTCAATAATGATAAATATAATCTATGCAATGTTATTGTGTAATTAATTTGTTTTTTTTTTTTATTACATATATTTTTTGTGTTAATTTGTTAATTGAATTTTTTCCTTTTATAAATGAAATAAATTTTAAATAAACGATTAGAAAGCAACTAACATAGAATTTTTAACCTATTTGATAAAAAATTATATTATATATTTTTATGTATTTTCTTTTTTTTTTTTTTTGTTCTCAAATTTATGTTAAAAAAATTCAATTTTTATATTTCGTACTTAGTTTTTAAAAGAATATAGAAGTCTCCGGTCATTAAATTTTGTATTTATGATCTTTTTTTTTTTTTCGTTTTTTAATTCATCTCTTAAGCCCAACACCTGACAAAATAAATTTTAGAAATGTTTTACATAAAAACTTCACACAATAATAATGAGCTCGTTAATAATTTAAAATTTTCATCATAATTTATAATAAAATTAAAGTTTTTAAAATTTTTTGATGTAAAACAAGAATATATGTATATATACATTTAGTGATAAATATATTCAATATAAATTTTTTTTTCTAAAATTTACTTTGTTAGCCTCTTTTAATTTTTATTCATAAGAATTTTTATATATCTAAATATATTTTAAAAATATTAATTTTGATGTATGTATGTAGTATATAAAATCTTTGTACTTAATAAATATTAAATTAATACAGTACAGTAAAGTTTTGAATTTTAAATACATACAAAAAGTTCTTTAAATAAAAGAAAATAAAGTCACTGGTTATATTAAAATAAATTTTCTTAGCAAAAAAATTAATTATTACATATTAATTGGATTAAATGACAATATTACTATATTTAATTAATATTATTATACAATCCAACACAATATTTAAAAGGGACTGTACTGTAAATGATGAACTTAAAATATTATTTTAAATAGAAATCAAATTAATATTTTTAAAATATATCTATGTGTACACAGTATATAAAATATCCATTCATAAGTGATCTTTCATTATAATTGTAAACCAAAATTTTTTCTATTGCCAATTACTTATTTTATTTCTTTTTTTATTATAATAATTATTATCTTGTTTCGTTTTTATAATTTTTTTTTTTGTTTCAAACTAGAGGCGATCCTAATTAAGCTGAGAACCCAATACAAAAATATAAAAACATATTTTACTGGTTTGAAAAAAAAAATATATAAAATATGTTTTGTTTTTACTAATAATTTGAATTATTGAAATAATATGATGATTTCCAGACGCACCGTAATTTAAAGAATGTCTTTAAAGAATAAAAGTGAAAATGTGTGATTAAAAGCTTCCATAACTTTTTTTTTAAATCTGAATTTGATATCTTCGGAATTTTGATTTTTTTTTTACTTGATGATTTTAAAATAAATTAAAAACATTTTTGATATGAAAAATATATTTTTGTATTGCGTGTCAGTATGTTTGTATTAAAAACCTGCAAAGTCTTGCCAAAAAATCTAAATGAAAAAAATAAAAACAAAAAAAAATAATAATTTTGATTTTTCAAGCCCAGATCAACATTTATGATAGCATGAGGAAAATAGTGTTTTTTTTTTGATTAATTTAAAGGAAAAGAATTCACACTATAACTCTAAGTAATTTAATATAAAAAAAATTATTTTATCTTCACTTAAATTTTAAACTTAAACTTAATTGGAATATTTTGTATATGTATATATTTGCATATTTATAAATATTATATTGCGATTTGCAAATGATCAAGAATGTGAAGTGATATTGAAATAGTAAAAGGATTTAACATGTAATTAGGAGGAAAGGTATATTGGAATTAGAGGTTGAGTCATGAAAATAAAAATAAAATTTATTTGAGAAATTTTGAAAATTCAATAAATTTTTAGAACAAAATATTTTAAAATTATTTTGTTTGATTTCTTTTCAGCTCACTTGCCCAAATTTCAAGACATCGGTCTATTATATGTTTCTAAATTTTCCCGAAATATAATTCGATTTAAGAATATAAAATACATACATTTTGAAAACCACATAATATAAAATTTCAATTAACTTCCGATTTAACAGTGTGCGCATTTTTGTTTTCGTTTATTAACAAAACAAAAAAAAATAAATTTATTAACTAATAAAATGTTAAGTCTTTAATAAAAGAAAGTCATTATTAAAATTTAAAAATATTTGTTAACAACTTCAAAGACTAAGTATTTGGAATGTAAAATTTAATATAGTATAAAATTTATATTAGGTTTTTTAAAACCTAGAAAAAAAAAAAAGATTTTAAAATCTAATTTCGTATAGTTTTATAATTTTAATATAATAAAAAATTATTAAATTAAAACAATATTTATATATTATAGTAAAAATATTATCTTACATGTATTTTATCAAAATACTATATTAAGATAATATATCAAGACTACAAATATTCTATGAATATTGCACATTTTGTCAGTTTGATTATGCTTCCGAGTTTATTTTTTTTTTTATTTGTTTAAATTCCAGGATGATAAAATCCGTAAACATTGGCGTGTGGGGGTCTAGTTAGTTGTCTTTTAGGCGCACTAGCCGTATTTGGATTTTCATGTTGAAATGCGTTTTCATAACTGCGCTTCATAGCGGGTACAACTGATAAGGCTGAAGCACTAGTCGTTGCTGTTGAAGTTGGAGGTTGCATTTGTGCTGCACCAAGTTGTTGGAGTGCATGGATTCCATGCGGAGTTGGCATTAAGCCAATTGGAGCTGGTGAAATTGAATGAAAAAATTGTCGAGCTGGCATAAAAAAATATGGTGATTGAGCACCTGGTGCGTTTGCTTGAGCTGCCGGGTGAGCAGGATGCAAACCATAATTAGCTGCAGCTGCCGCAGCAGCAGCTGCTGCAGGATGCATACTTCCAGGTAAATTCGCAGCACCTGGGTGAGCCTGCATGAGAGCAATGTTTGGGACATTTAAAAATGAATCATTTTGGGCAACAGCGGCTGCGGCTACCGCAGCTGCATTTTGTCTGGCAAGTAAATTTTGTTGAGCTATAAATTGAGCTTGTTGTTGGGCTAGTAAAGCAGAATTGGCAGGTGGTGGTATTGTTAAAGCCAGCTGTGGTGGAGGCTGTGTAGTTGCACTGTTTGGTGCTAAATTTGGAGCAGTATGTAAAGTAAATTGTGGAGGAAGTAACGATTGTGGTGCTGCAGCAGCATGGGCATGTGCAGCAGCAGCAGCTACTGCAGCGGCAGCATTGACTCCTGCTGTTGCACTAGGAGGTTGCCCAGCAGCAACGATCGGGTGAGCTGATAAAGCATAGTGAGGTACGTTTGCTGCCGCAGCTGCATTTGTAAAATGAGTATGGTGCGAAGCTGCTGCAGCTAAAGCATTAGAAACAGCTACTGCAGCAGCAGAATGATGTGGTAATAAAGGATGTTGGACAGTTTGGGAAGAAGGAGGAGGTGGATGATGAGTCAAATGATGATGAGGATGTGTCACTACAGTTTGTTGTGGCGCTTGTTGTTGTATTTGCGGTAACATACCAGGTGATAAAAGTGCAGGTTTTGTAGGAGTTACTGGTGATTGTAGTCCCCCGTTCAATACTAGATTCATATCATCACCGGAGCATTGAAATACTTCTATGTAGCGGTATTTCTTCCCAAATATCATAAATTGGTTATGTTTTTGTAAAGCACACACACGAGCTGATTCTTCTGAATCCATTTGAATGAAAGCTTCTCCGCTTGGTTGGCCCTAAAAAGCTCGTAATAGTTTAATAAAACTTCTTCAAATTACTTTAATCCTTTTAATACTTACTTGTGAATTAAATACCATATGTACTCCTTGAAATATTATATTCTTAGCAAAATCATCAAGAAAATGTAATATGTGCTCTACTTGGGCTTCATATGGTAAACCACGTAATCTAATACAATTTTTCTTTGTACCAGAAGTAATAACACGCTATAAGAATATTAAGATAATTTTTGATATAAAATATAAATTTATCGTTTATATTGTTTTACTAACTTGAGGCAATAAAGGTACGTTATGATGAACTGGCGGTAATTGTGCAATTAAAGGGGGAGGATTTGATTCGTAAGTTTTTGGATCCATTGATCTGTTTAAAACTTGTTGAACTTCTGCAGTTGTTGATCTAAATAACTCAATATACCGTTGCCCAATAGATTCACGATGTCTTGACAATGCATGAGGTGCATCTTCTTCCTTTGCAAATAAAACAAAAGCGTCACCAGTTGCACGACCGCATGGTTTTTTAACAAATAGCACTCCATCAACTCCATCTAAGACATCACATGGATTTTCACCAGTTGTAAAGAAATCAAGCTTAAAAAATATTTATTTTATTTTATTATTTTTTTTAAAAACTTAAGAAGTGAATTTAATTTAAAAAAAAAAAATAAGTTTACATACAACTTGTTTTGCTGTACAGTCATAAGGCAGTCCTCTCATACGTATTATAACTTGAGCACCTTTTGATAAAAATGCTTGAGCTTCATTAGATGCTCCACCAGCAACTGCCAAAAAATCTTCACCAGAAGCTCGATACACTTCAATATATCGGCTTGTTATATGATGTTTATGTCTTTTTAATGCCATATCACGATGTTCTTGTGATATAAAACGAATTAAAGCTTCACCGTTACGACGGCCTAAGGGTGATAAACAAAGTGCTACGCCTCCCCTAAAATAGTTAATGAATAATTATATTTACATATATATATACATATATAACATTTTAGCGTAAATTTACTTTGCAACATTTAATCCTCTAAAAAATTTGGCAATATCCTGATCACTACTTTGCCAAGGTAATCCACGGGCACGAACAATGCACGTACCATCTATTTCGTCATCAATTGAGCTAAAATTCCATAAAAATAATTTTATATAACAAATTTAAATAAGAATATAAAAAATTTAAACAAGAAAATAAAAAATAATTATTAAATTATTTTTTACGAATGTGATAATTTATTTTTTATGTTTGTAGGTATACATTTTTGTTGCCGTAAGATACAATTGAAAAAGCGTCTTCAAAATTAATTAGACATTAGTAATAATAATTTTATACGATGAAAAACTATACAAATTAATTTCGCTTCTTTTAATTTTGCACGCACATTAAAAAAAGTAAATAATTTTCATTGAACAAATTTCTATATCGTATTGAAAATACAATTGATTTTCCAAATTTCGAATTTCGAATTGTTACAATTAATTACAGTATTTTAAGTTAGATATCATTAATCCAATATTTTAGGTTTAAAACCTAACATATCATCGGTCTTAGATTGAAGTCTATATATTAAAAAAATCACATATAATTTGTACCACCTGAAAGATCGAAAAACAACATACGATATCTAGGAAATGCTGAAAATGTTCAATAATATTTAACAATAATTTTGTTATGTTATAAAATTAATTAAGATAAAAATTCCAGAAATTTTAAAGTTTTCAAGTTGAAAATTAATAGATTTTCACTTTAACACTTCATTTGGACTAATAATATAAGTTTTATATCCCACATGTCATACGCACATACATAATATTATATATTTTATTCTACTATTGCTTTAAACAAGTTCCTATTTAATCATTATTTGAATTTAAGATAGATATTTGATGAATCTTGTAAAGTTGTTATACATACATGATAATTTACAATTTATTCAACAAAATTTTATGTAAGTATGTATTGATAATCACAATATACTTGCATATGTACAAAATTATTATAATAAGTCAAAATGATTAAATTAATATGAAGAATTATATTAAATTCGATATATTATAAATTTCAATGCTTGATTAGTTAACGTTAGGGCACAATATTCATCGATATTATGTAAATGTTTTTATTGCTTAAGTAAAAAAAAAAAATTCCTAGATCTTTTTATTAGATTACTCGTATAATGATCACTTAAATGACAATTCCTTATCTACATTTTATTTCTTGTACGTAGTTTACATTGTAGCTACACTCATTTATAATAAACATAATTATACATACATATATAAATGTAATATGCCTACATGCATACAAACATTTATAATCTTAAAATTGCAGGCTTCAATGTTATTATTTTTATTTGTAGTTGAAATAAAAGAAAAATATTTTTATTTTTTTATAAAATATAACAACAACTAATTATGTATATGTATTGATTCAATCTCAAAAAAATAATTTAATATATTTAAAAATTAAGAAAAAAATCTTTCGTATAACAAAATAATTATTGTACTAATGTACTAAATTATAACAAAAGAACTACATACAAAAAATGTGACATTTGCTTAAATTAAAAATTGCTTATGATGCAAAAATATTGAAATCAGCAGAAAGGTGTCACTCATGCATATTTTGAAAGAAAATGTAAAACAAAAAAAAAAACAATAATTACCCGTTGTTTTTTTAAATTCTGTACAGAGTGTTGTAAAAAATTTTAAATTAATTCTTCATGCTATTAAATTGTTAAAATATAACTTAAGAAAAAATAAAAACTAATTATGATTAAATGGTGCCAAATGAAAAAATAAAAACAGGATGATAAAAATTTATTATTATTACACCCTTTTATAAATATGTACATGTATTTTATTAATTTTTATTACTGCAAATTTATGTAGATACATGTACGTTATTTGGTATGTATAAAAATATAAAAATAATTTTCATTGTTTAAACAAGTAACTGCTCAGTAGTCAGTTCCTTATACGAGTATATGTGAATGTGTACCTAACTAATTACATGTTTTTATCTTTTTTTTAATTTTTCAGTCATAAAGCAATAAAATTTTATCAATTTTTACTATTTATTAATCAATTCATACATTACGTAATAAAAATAATCAATTTTTAATAATTTTACATAAAATATTAAATTAAAATTGTAAAAAAAAATCAAAATTTTTAAAACATGTACAAATATGTATGTGTGTATGTCTGTCTCTCTCCATTGTCTACTCACTACTGAGTTTTAGCGGTCATACTAGTTGGATGTTGCACTGTTTAAGATGTCCCTTATAAGCTTCGCGATCCATTGCTAAATGTACTAAATCACCAATATTTTGATATTTCTGTCTAGTTCATGTTTATATGTATTTAATTAAAATGTATTTTTTTTCTTTAATTAATTAAATTTGTCAATATCAAATTGACATTAAATTCATTTATAATAATTAATTATTATGAATGATTTTTCTAGTTTTTGTAGAAATTTAAATTAAAAACTCTAAAATTAACTTTGAGAAGAAAATTACCAAGTTAATTAAAAAAAATTAATTGTCTAATAAAGACTCTTGTTATTTGAGTTAAATTCAATTTCAATATTTTTGTCTTTAATTAAGATTATAAATTAATTATGAATTGATCCTATAAATTCTGAGAAATTCTGAGACAAATCCTATAAATTCTGAAAAATTGTGAGACAAAAATTCACTTCCAAATGTAAACTAATACATGAAGCTGACATATTTCTTAATTTTACGATACATATAAATTTACTTTTTGGATATAAAGCAGCGGCTCTCTAGCAAAATAAATAATTTCATAAATAGTATGGTGTTGTTAATAGGATATTTTAATAGTTTTGATTTTTTTTTTTTGTTATAGAGTATATTTTAATTTAAGAATAAATTTTTAACACGAACTAAAAATCATTAAAATTTCTAATTTTACTTGCTTTTTTTTGTTTTTGTTCAACAGGAATGTTTATGCATATATATTTGTGGGTACATTAAATGGTTTTATAAAATATTATAGCATTAATTGTATTTGCATTTAAATATTATATATAAAAATATACACAAGAAAAATAAATTTTATTTCTTCCTAATTTTTAATTATATAAATAAAATTTTTATAGTTATAAATTATGAATAAATTCCGTGCAGTTAAAAATTATAAAGAAATTTAATTTTCAATTTTTATAAATTCAAAAACATAATTAGTTTACCGCAAAATAATGACATTAAAATCACAAAATTATACACGTCATTTATAAAAATTTTAAATTGGTGGTGTATTTTTCATACACTTTGCGAAATATTTTTATTGTTTCTTTTATTTTTGGATTCTTTTACACTATTGTATTGTCACATATTGAAATACATTCTTACACATTTAATTTGCAAGTATTTTTCTGATTTTTTTTTCTCCTTTTTTTGCAGTTTTTAGGTTATGTGCTGTATGACAGTTATTAAAAATAGAAATTTTAATATATTGTCTTATTTATTAAAAAATTTTAACAAACATTATTAATAATTTTAAAAAATTTAACATTCAAACTAATTTTAAATATATTTAATTTCTTTGAATATTTACGTACATCGAAATTTTTATGAATTTATCATTAAAAAATTTTTAGACAACAAAAAATTTGATTTTTTTGTTGTCTCTTTTTATTTTTCATAAAATAATCTTTATAAAACATTCTAGATCATTTTCATTGACTTTGTTTTTTTTTTTCTTTTTAGATTTATTATTATGTAATTTCCTGTAGGTAATTAATTTGTAATATAATTTCAAATAATTTTCAACATTAATTTAGTTTTAAAAAGCAAAAAACTTACTAATTTTAAAAACTTGATTTCTAGTTGATTTTAAATAAAAATGAGTTTTTTCGATTAAAATACGTGTTCCAAAAATTAGGTATATTATAATAATAATAAAAAAATAAAATTTAGTTAAATATAAAACTTTAGTTAATAAACATTAGAAATTTCAACTCATTTGCGCTTTACAAGTTTCAATCACTAACTACCATGCTGATATAAATTCACTCATATAATCAATAATAAAATACAATAAATGAAAAAAAAGCAATAATAATATTTTAATATATTATGAAGAAAATAATTATAATTTGATCCTGCTAACATTAGGATATTCGTTGAATAAAATTCTAATGTTATTGAAAGAGTATATTATACAGATTTAAAAATAGCTTCAAAATGTACATATATTAAATTTTTTATTATTCCCTGCTAACTAATTAATTACTATTACCTAATAGTAACTGTTATAAATTTTTGGGATTAATAATTATTATTAGTAATGGGTAAAATTGACCCTTACAAAAATTATGCTTTAAACGAGTTAAATTTAAAAGAGATTTTTTTAAAAAGAAAACTGGGGTAACAATAAACGATAAAATTTTTAAATTTAAGGAGAGCTTATGGACGTAACAAATACGGAAAGGATCTAAGGCAGCGTTTATAAGTCAATCAAAAATTGACAATCATGGTCGAGATTGACGAAGATTCTTCAGAATTTACATTTACATAACAATCAACCTTTGTCAATCATACCATATGTACTTTAAATTTAAAAAAATGAAAAACAGTCACTCCACTATTAAATGACAAATTGCAAAAAAACAAAAAAAAATACATTAAAACAGCAAATCTTAAGCTCACGTAACAATCAAGTTTGATGAAAATGATTGATTAAAAATGTTTACATGTTCTATCTTGTTGATCAATCTCAATCATGATTGTCAATTTTGATTAATATAAAAACGCTGACTAAGAGCTAATGATATTTCAGCTAATAGAAGCTAGCGAATAACTTAAATAGAATAGATGAGAATAGTTTTAGGTAGTATTGTTTTTTTAATTGTTAGTTTTACTGAAATTCGTCTCTTTCGAAATCACAGAAAATAAAATTATAAATGAATCTCTAAAAAAGAAAAGAACATGAATTTCATTAATTAAATATCAATCAAAATTAGATAGACAGTTTTCGGACTAAAAATAAATTTTTTCAAACAGTATATTAGTTAGAAATTAACGAATATGAGAAATCGAATTAGAACTAGATTTATATTTTCAAAATATTTTTAACCGAATGTGTTGTTGATTTGCAATGAACACAGAATTTTATTCAGAAGGGCTAACTATTCCATACTTAATACTTTAAGGCATGGCGTTGTATAATACTTGAAAAATGTTTGTAAATATTATAAACGAAAACTTTAATTTTTGAAAACCATCTTTTTTTTTGCTTTGCTTAATAAGCTATAAAAACTGAGAACGTAAGAACGTAAGTTTTTTTTTCTTTAATATTTCAACAAAAATACAACAAAACAATTTTTTTTCTTTATAATAAAAAAAAAAAAAATTTAATACATATATGTATAGGGAAACAAACAAACAAACGAACATATTTAAATATTTTATTATATTTAGTAGGAGATTTTCTTATCAGAAAATCATTAAAATTTATGGATTATGAGCGAGAAGTTCATTTTATTTTTTCTTCTAATTTTTGTTATTTTGCTTTTTGTCATCTAACATATGTGTATGTATGTATGTTCATGTTCCATCAGAAAAATAACTCCACTCTAATTCGAGCGTAAAGTCAGTCGTTTAGTCAAATTATTTCTACGTATTACATATGTACATACATGATTATACATTTTATGTATGCATATACAATGTAAGTATTCTTTGAAATATTCTCAAAACGCGATCACAATTTAATAATTTTAAAAAATCGATTTCTTTCAAATATTATATGCATACGAGTATACACAAACATACATCCATATACATATTTTAATCTTTTCGATATTATTTTATTATTTGTTATTTTTTTCTCTCATTTTGTTGATATTTCGTTCAAATAAAAATGCAAAATAATGAAAATAACAAAAATATTACAAATAAACATTTTGAACAAAAATATATTTTGTTTACACAAAAAGTTTATAAATTGAAAAATTAATAAATTCTATATTATTGAATATTATTTGATTACAATTTTAAATGTGACTTGTATAACAACAATGATTAACCAACTCTATTACATACGTATTTATACGAACTCTTGTTTTTGACCATAATTAATAATACATACATACATATGTATGTACATACGTATGTATACATTAAATTTTTATTCTAATTTTTTGTCAAATTTTTTTCGAACCATTAATAAAAATATTTTAGTTAAAATGTGATATTTAAAAACATTAAGAGTTAATAGGAGATTTCCATGAGCATATAGATAATATACATACGTTACATAAATGCATACGTAAAGTTGAGAGCCTCTGTAACATAGGCATGATAGAATCTTGTTCTAATAAGAGAAAGGTTGACAGTATTAACCTTTTGAGCGCACACTTATTTTTGAGGACGTTAAACGCACACATGTACCACACTTTTCTCTTGTTCTTAAATTTACTAAAAAGGCCTTATTTTTTTTTATTTTATTAAAAAATAAAAAATTAAATTAATTTTTAGATATATTAAATATCTGTGTAATACAAATACTTAGTTCCTTATAAATATTATCAAATTTTTTGCATTCGCTCTTGAGAATCTCATTTTTAAAATATTGCTGGACAAAAGTGGAACATGTGTGCACTCAAAAGGTTAACTATATTGTAAAATACCCGAGCTGTGTATAAATTACAGGGTTCAAATTACATATTATGTACATATAAATTTTAGATAACATTTCAATTCAAAATTTATATCTCTTTCGATTCGATTTAAACTTAACTTTAATTTGTAAATGCAAGGCAATGGTAACCTTATTTATTTTAACTGTACTTTTATGTTAATAATAATCATTTTAAAATTTCAAATACTCAAAATTTATTTGCATTGCCGTTTAGCACTTAATATAAAGAAATATTTTAAGAAAATAATTTTAATGCATGAAATCGGAAAAAAAAAATTTTATTGCTCCGTTCTTTTCTTCATATTTAAGTCCACTTAAATAATAGAACTATAAAATTAAAGTAAGAGAGGTGTAAGCAGCCCAATGGTTTCGATTGTATAAAAATAATTTTTTTTTTTTTAGTTGAAATTCAACCATCTCAAAGTGTGATAGAGACACTTTTCTAATAATATTTTCAAATTTATTTCTGGAAATAAAAAATCAAACTTAATTAAATCATGTATGCACTTATTTTTTTTATGTGTTATAAATCATCAAGTTAGAATTTTCATATATACTTGCATCATAAATCATGACGAAGAAGTTGGACTATTTCAATAGGGAATATGTATGAGAGTATAGTGACATAATTGACGTGAAAAGAAAATGTTTAATATTTAAAGAGCCTTTTGATTTTTTATAATGCTCAATCTAAGTATTTTTTCATATAGCCTTTGTAGATATGTATGTACATATAATGTAATATAGATTTTAAATGTACACCAATAACTATAAAAGTCATTTAGAACAAAATTATATTTTTTTTTTTTTCAACAAACTCATTGATAAAGAAAACTTTGCAATTTTTACAAGTCATTCATTTTTACTGAAGAATTTTTATTTTACTTTTATTTTTAAGGTAATAAAACATGTTTGATACCGGGTGTTTTGTGATAACATTAATATTATTATATTTTATTATTATTATTTTAAAATAATTTTTTTTTTGGTTTATTTATTTATTTTTGAATCATAAAGATTTGTATTATAAAATCGGTAAAAAAATTTGTTTTTAGTAATAATTTAATATTTAATTTAAAATTTAATAACTACATTTTAACATGATTTGCTGATAGAGAATTGCGATAGATTATTTGGAATATTTTTTTTTTAACATTCAATTGCTACCTTCATTTAATAAAATGTCCATAAATTTGCAAATTAATGACTCAATGTATATATATTTCAATAATTGGCATTTATATTATTATATAATTTTGTTAATTGCATAAATAACCCTGTAACATAATATAACCCTGTGTTATATTAAATTAAACGTTTGAGTACGAGCTTAACATTATCTAAATATTAGGTGTACACATATTTGTACCCAAACATATTTGTTTTACTTTAATCTTTAAAATGATATTGTTGTATTTGTAGCTGTGTATGTGGAATGTTTTCTTTTAAATTTCATAGTTTCTTTCAGTTCTTCTAAAATTATCAGTTCTGGTCTCTTTCGTATTATTTTTTCTCAAATTCACGATAGGCTTTATGATTTTTTGATGATAAAAGCAACATTTTTTATTCAGTTTCTTTCAATAATTTTATTCTGATATCTACCAGAATAAAATTTAATAAACATAAACATAATTTTTGAAGAATCTTATAATATCCAAACAAATACGAAAAAATGTCCATCTAATACTTCCGTTGGATACGTTGGCTCATAAAGTAAAAATTTACATACACACATACGCACTGTGATTTAAATTAAAATCAATTATGCATAGTAAAAATTATAATTTTTTGAAAAAAAAAAATAGAAAAAAATACTAGAATAAAATAACATGCAAGAGAATTAACATCTCGTATGTCATAAATTACTGTCTAAAATAGAAAGAATATCTAAAGAGAATATGAATTACACTATCTAAATGCTGTTAACATTACATTAAATCTTAATCGTGTATAGGATTTAATGTTAAAAATCAAGTCAGATTATTAAATATTTTAACGAATTTGTTAATTTATAACATAGTTACATTGACAATGTCAATTGAATTATTCCATGATTTTTGTCGAAACTGAAAATCTTTAAGATTTTTATACTATAATAAAAATTTTCAATGGGAGCATAAAAACTTAAATCAACAATAAAAAAAAAGATAGATACTAAAATTTTGTAAAACGAATACAATCACATAATCGATATTTTGCAACTAAATTTATAAATTTTTAATTACAAAATATCGATTATGTGTATTCGTAATTAATTTTAAAAATCTAATTTAATTGTTATAAGGTTAGTAGTCTAATTTGCGGTGTTATATTAATGTATATGTCATGAAAAACAAGGGTATTTGTATTCATAGGAAATTGTAAGGCTCGAATTTGAATTAGCTGAATTTAATTTTTAGATTTAATTGAAATTTTAGTAAAAATGTAACTTTATAATACAATATTATCAGATACACTTTTGGAAAATTTCTTGAAAAATTTTGATAATAGTTTGTTTAAATAATACCTAAATTTAATAAAAAAGTATAAATAACATCACATTTTATTAATAATACTACATTATTACATTCGGTATTTTGTCATATTGCATTTTTAATTTCGAATTTTTAAAACAATTATATTGATTATTACAGTAATATTTCGATTTACATTAAAAAAATAAATTTATCTCAATTTGAATCACTAATAGTTTAGATTATTGAAATCAAATCAATAAAGATAAAATAAGATTTTAAAAGCATAATAATGAATTATTTGCAATAGTTGAACGGTATTAGCGGTAGATTATTTCATGTATTTTAAGTGTTAAACAAAAATTATAATTAATAAAATGACTTTAAAGGCATTTTAATATTTTATAATGAGTGCATTAATTTGAATTTATAATGTGCAAAATTTTACATGGCATAACGTAAAGCTCTATATAATAATAAATTAAATAGATTCTAAAAAGGTAATAAATTTTAACTGAAGATAGAGTCAAATCTTTATATTTTCGTTAATGTTCGAGTTTCAGAAAGGATAAATTAATTTATTTTTATTTAATTTGATATAGAATTAGTAGAAGGAAATTTAAACGGAATAGGTTTTCTTTTTGAATGCATCAGAATTAATTTTCCATGTTACAAACCTAACATAACTATATTTCAATAATCTACTAGTATGTTAAGCACTGTTTTCAAACTTTTTCAATTAGGTAAACCTACCTACTTATATGTACATAGCCCTAGCAAATTCTGTCTATGAGTTAAGCAAGTTAAGTAAGTTAAGTATCTAGTTATACTTATGTATGTATACCTCTATATGTACAGTTTACATGAAAACCACATATAATATAATTTTAGTGTTAGTTTTTTGTTCTTACCAAATTCCAGGTTCTAAGATCATGTTAACAATTTCGTTGGCTTCAAATTTGTGTCCTATGTTAAAATAAAATTTAAATATAAAATTAATATTAATTATAATGATTGATTTTCTAGCTTAAGGTTAAAGTAATTAGATACATCATATTTAGAGCAATTCATTTGTAACTAAGAATTCAAATAACTAGATAAAAAGGTTTCATTTTTAGCTTTAAAATTATAGCATACCTAAAATAAATATATTGAATTATGTGCATTGGATTCTTACCTGCTGATAAAAGTGACTGAATTACTGTTACCATATCACGTGATTCTCTAACGTAAAACTCATTGTCTTCTACAGATGTTAAATCAAGTTCTATATTAAACAAAAAAAAAAAATTTTGTAATATAAATTATCATTACATGGATAGAAGTACATATGTATGTATGTATACAATTTTGATGGAAAACTTTCTGATATAAAGGATGTTGGAATAAGCTTCGCCGGGACCTGAACATACCAGGCTCTTCAAAGTCTTCTGTCTTCGCATAGTTGTGTACCCGTTGTTGTTTTTATTTAACTTTAGTTTTAGAATTTTCACATTTTTCAAATTTCACTTTTAAATATTTGTATAATATATCTTGTTTGGTAATACGTCATACATATTTGATTATTCATTATCTACTTAGTTATCTTTTATAAAATCAATTAGGTTTTCCAACAAAATTAAATTAAAAAGTTGAATTTTCTTCTTTTATGAACGTTAGGAAATCTAAAATATTTTGAAAATCTGTTGTCATCGTCAAATGTCACATTTAGTCACGACTCACGAGTCATGATTGGAAATTCGAAGTTGTAGTTCAAAACTTGAAGTTCTGTAGCATTGGTACTGCAAAAATTTGTACTTTGTAGTTTGCGAAAAGTACTGCATTTATCTTGTGCAAGAGCTATAATATAATTTCATAGTTTTTTGAAACAATATCTTTTTTCTATTACTAGCATTTCAAAGACACAAACCTCCAAAAACAAATACTAAAATTCATTATTGATACCGCGTCCATTAATATTTAAGCTTAATATAAGTCTAAATTATTTTATTTTTGTTTTCTTTTTCCTTTCTTTTAAGGTATGTATGTGCAATTCAGCTGGGTTAGTTGCAATTATTTTAACTGCCACATATATTCCAGTAATTATATGGTTGTATTTCAAAAATATAAACAAAGTAGGGAACAGAAACAGCGGACGATTTCCGTTGCCAACTCAGAATAACAGCGGAACGGCAAAATCAACTGTATAGTAATTTGCATCTAAACTCACAGATAATGTCATGAAAAAGGAATTTAGGTTATTTCAGCGCAGGCGGTGGAAGTGATGAAAAATTGATTTGATGAAAATCTGATACGTAATCAGTACTACCAAATAGAGTAGCCCAAATATTTTTTTTTTTTTTTTTGAATTGATAAGAGATTTTCAATTTTCGTATAAAATAATAAAAATAAATTTTAAAAAAAATTTAGGCAAAATCAACTGATTTTTGCTCTTCTTTTTTTTGCTAATTTGAGGTAACTAATTGCTAATTTGAGGACGTAAAAGTATAAGTAAAAATAAATTCTGATGTGTAAATACTCATCAGATTTTATCGTAGAATTTCGGCGCGAAAAATCGCTTTTGTTTTGTTTTCAGCTTAAATGAACGCTCATTTTAGTACACATAGACACGATCAGTTTTTAGTCATTTGGATATAAGTACATATGTACGTATATGCGTCTTTTTAAAACCGTAAGTAATTCATGAAAATTTATTTTCCTTTGGCATTTTTTAATCAATACAAATTACAGCTAATTAAAATGAAAATATATTTACTTACCTTTCATCATATCAGTTATACTAAGAGGCGGTGGAGGTAATGGTGGCATATGAGACAATTTTTTAACATCTTTTACAGGAACTAATGCACGTGATAAATCAGCGGACTTATATCTAACATATTCTTTACGTAAATCACTAAATTTGCAATAATATGACGGTAATTCTATATCTTTGGCACTTGCTTCTGGATGTAAGCATTGTCTTAACGGTAATTGCCCATCTGTTATTAATTTAAAATTTGTAGTTGAACATGGATCTATCGATAGAGAGCGAATGTATTCATCAAACTGAAAATAAAATGAGAAAAAAACGCTTTAATTAATTCACGAGTTTTGAAAGGTAAATAACTAATGATAACAAAAATAATGCATGTATTAATTGAAAATAAAAATTGACGACAATATTTAAAAGATATTTTTGTAGATAACGTGATCTCTAACACAATTTGTGTTTAAAGAAAGCCCTCTTGAAATAACAGTGTCCACCCATCATTTTCATCTTCTTCACTGTAGAAAAATATTTGATTTTATGAAGTTGTTCGTATTAAAAGAAGGTTATTATATGCAAATAAGCGTTTATGCTAAAGGATGTAAAATAATGGTACGTAATTGATTTCTCTTTCATAATTTTTGTTTATTTAGGTAAATTTTTACATCAATTATCTCGTTTTCATGTGCATGGCGCTATAATAGAATTTTATAATATTATGTATATGTGCATAGGTATATAACTCATGAATGAATTAATCATTTTACTAACAATTTCATAAGAATTTTTAAGATTTAATATGACAATTTTTATTTAAATTTTTACATAAATTTCAATTAGTCTTAGAATATTATAACAGTCTCAGTGTATGTAATTATTAAATGCCTTACAGTGACTTGAAGAAATTCACAAATAATGTGTTACTGCGAAAACAAAAATGTTTGTCTAATACTCTTTATTAGAAACTGGTTTTATGGAACAGAAAATAAGAAGATACATTGTTTGGTTAAGAAATATTAAACAAAGTTATACTAGACGTCTAAATAATTGTTGTTGTGTATGATGGTTTTTGAATTTCATTTGCAATAACAATAAGTTGACAAAAAAGCACGCTTATAAATTATACCTACTCAACCTTTTCATATTTTAGCTATATATTTCTGTCTAATTTTTAAAAGTTTTTTGAAAGATGAAAGCAATAAATCTTTATGAATAAAAAATTTTTTTAAAAATTGTATTGAGAACATTAGTTAAAGTTTGACCATGACTGATAAATTATTACGAATTGTGTATGTAATTATTATGGAGCACATAAATAAATAGTCACATAGCGCAAAAATTCGCGCCCTTTGTTTAAATAAGAATATTTTTTTTTGACATTGTTGATGTCTGCTTAATTATGTTGTAAAAATAATTAAAAAATGCTACTTCTTTTTCTTTTGTATTCTGAACTTGTTTCTGTTAATTTAATTTTTCATAATTTTCATGTTTTTTTTCATTAATGTTTTTTTTTTTAATTTGTATAGGCCACCGAATAATGCGGTTTTCCCATTATACAAGCTATGTTAGTTTTTAAAAATTTTCATTTAAAATTTTTTGTTTTTGTTTTACAATTGAATGATTTTTCTTGATTCTTATGAATTTTTCTCATGCATTACTTTATATTGCATTTATTAACACAAAATAAAATTATGGTATTTTTTTTTCTTTTAATTTTATTTCAATTACATTTTTAACGTACTAAATTTTAAATTAATTTGAAGTGGCGGTATGAAAAATTACGATTAACAAATCACTTTTCATTTTTGAAATTAAAAAAAAAACAATGAATTTTCAACAATATTTTATAAGTTTTCTAAAAAAAATTATAATATGAAAAAAAATACGGATTAGCAATGGACTAAAATGAAATCAGTATAACAGATAGAATATTGTGTCTTTTAATCAATTTGAAAATTTAATGCCTATTGACACGTATTTGAATATGACACATTAAATCGTAAACAATATTATGATAAATAGCCATTGTATATGGCAGTGTATCGGTTTGGTTGATTAACTTATTAGATTTTACTTTTTTTCGTATAATATGTACATATATACAGGCGTAATAAATATTTTAATGTGTGAAAATGATATACCAAATGTAGGAGAAAAAAATAGGTTTGTGTCTAATTCATAAATTACAAACAAAAATTTATGTAATATTAAAATTTACATAATTGTTATACATACATATACATATTAAAAATATGCCCATATTTACTTATTCATTGGCCCATACAATTATTTAATTTAATAAGAGCTAAATATTTCGCAGTAAATATTTCAAAATATGCTAAATTGAATTTTCCAAGTTACTAAACACAGGATATGAACAGGATTTACCTATACACATACTTTAAATTTAGATTAAAAATTATAATAAAATTTCACTTTTCGAATTAAATTCATTAATAAATTCAAGATTTTGTAACTGTTATCCGTTATGTAAGTGTACGTTTGTATATGCAGTTGTGGGAAATTCATTTTTCATTAATATGCAAAAATTAGCGATATAAGTACAAGTATGTATACATAGTTAATATTTAATGACAAACTGTGAGAATATAATTTTAACCGTCTATCATTTAATTACATATAATTAAAATGGCATTTTAAATAAATCATTAGTTTATATTTAAATTTTAAAAACGCTTCACTTTATATACATTATATTTATTTTATGTGACAAGCGTATATTTAAAATCTACTTATTAAATTAAAAATTCAAGACAAAGATTCGTTTTGTTTTATTCCTTTTTTTTTTCTTTTATTTAACACTGTAGATGTTAGTAAATTTTGAGGAATAGTGGAGAATTAAGCCAATAAATCAAAAAATGATTCTATATGATTATAGTTAGAAAGTAATTTAAATAAAGTAATACATTGTAATGCTTGTATGTATGTAAGCATATACTGAAATTTCTACTCCAATTTTTGAATATTTCAGATTTAAAACAATTATTTCAAATATTTGCTTTATTTTGTTTACGATCGAGGTGAATTTAATATGAGTTTATGATGTAGAATAGAATTTATAGTTCAATTATTTGACATTATACCAGAAAATAATACAAAAGAATGAAGGATTAATATTATTTTTCAAAACGCATTTAGCAAGATAAAAATTTAATAAAAATTTTGCCACTACGACGGATCTGAAACTACAGATTTTTGAACTGATTTTTATGTGGTTGGATCAGGCAACTAAATATCATATTTGTTATTGAATAACTTAATAGAAATTGCATTGTTATACGAGTACTACAATTTCAGAAACTTCTTGAGAATTTTGAATTCAGTTGTATTCTATTACTATTACGCAGTCGTACTGTCTATCTTCATTATCTTTATACTATTTTGATATTTGCCACTTAATTTTTTAAATGTATTAAAATTTTGAATATTTATTCAGGAATATTAACAACAAATACCGATCTTAATTTTTGATCCTTACTATAATAGCTTTTGGATTAATATATTATATTGGGTCTATAATATACACCTTTTTTTGAAATATCTCGCAATATGTTATTTTTGTAGTCGTTAAAGTTTTTTTTTAAAATTTTACAATTTTTTTTATAGTTAAATATTCTGGAAGTGGTTCTGCATTGGCTTAAAGCGGATTAAAATTTTTGCAAAAAACATTAATTTATTTTATGTGGTTAAACATATTTTGAATATGACATGTGTAATTTTGTAATAACGCATTTTTTTTAGTTAATTTTAGTTTTAATTCAAAATCAACCATCATCGGATAAAAGAACAACTATATACAATTTAAATATGTATGTAAATATATAAGGTTGATTATTGTTTTTTTGTTTTTGAAAATTCTTTATAGAAAAACCAAAAAATTTTGAAATCAAGACCAGAAAAAAAAGGAAACTAAAAATAAAAATTTCCCACGTTATAAATAACATCAACTTTTCATTTTCTTATGTACATACTTATATTTTTTTTTTAAATAATGTGAAAATATTTTTTATTCAAAAAAAATTTTTTTTTTGTTTATTAAAAATATATATGTATATATGTTTTTTGAAAAGTGCAATGAATAATTTTAGGCAATATTATGTGTATTTTTTCAAATTTTTTTAAAGCGCGCAAAAAAATTAGAAGCGCGTGTTGCTCATTTAGGTCATTATTTTTTTTTTTAAATTACAAAATTTATTCAAATTAACCTAGCTTATAATTAATGCCACTATTATTTTAATAAAATAATAAATTATAATGTATTTATTTCATTTTAGACACCTTTCAAAAATTAATTATGTATATAAATAAATTGCAAAATAATTTAATTTATTGTTAAAATGAAAATTTTAATTAATTATGCAATAATTGAGAGAATTTTCAAACAGAGCCAAAAATTGTACAATTTTGGAAATATGTACACATGTTATGTGCATAATATATTATGCATAATTAGTATTTAAAAAATGATGGCAACAATCGAATGCACCTGATAAACTTGTTGATAAGAGTATGAAGAATTCGAATATATAGTATAATTTAAAGTAGTAAATTATTAAAATAAGAATGTAGTATTAAAAGTAACCTTAATTAATATTTTGCATTCTTTTGTAATTTAAACAAAAAATTTTAGTTATAATTTTGATTTCATATTTATTTACTTTGTATAAACTTTATATATTGCATTATATTTGTTGTTATTCTTCATTTTGAAAATTCTAGGTTATTTCCTAGAAAAAAATTACTACCTTAACCTATGATGTAACTTTCGATTTGTGTCTGTTTATACTGTATATATATAATATAGTATAAACTGACTTTCTTATAATGATATAATACACCAATAAGCATATTATTAAAAACCAAAATAATAAAAAATAAAAAAAAAAGGTTACACTTCACTTGAACTTTTCAATTAATTTGTATATGTATGCTTACTATTTATTTATTCATATTGTACATATAAATAGCACGCATTTAATCAAAATTAAAATTATATATGTATGTACTCGTATAGCTATGAAAATGCATGAAAATATCTGCAAATATATATGTACATGGTGATTCTGAAAGTTATACAACAATATATTCCATTGGTTAGAGGATCGAAAATGGGTAAAAAATTTGTTGCGGGCTGGGTGCCAAATCTTAAGGGTTTCCGAGTTCCAGAGTTAAAATCGAATTTTCACGAAATTTTTACTTATCCAAGTTTTTTTTTATTATAACTTCTGTTCTGAAAAAGATGGGGACTTCAAACAAAGAGTTTCTGAAAATCCTATAG